CGGAATTGTAGTTGGCTAACCCCCTGCCTACTTCTATATCGACCCATCCCTCCTCCGTACCGATCACTCCAGAAAACTGCAACTTCGTTTCCTTCGGCTTTTCTACGGCAAACTGGGTAGTGGAAAGATTGGGTGATGCATCAGTAGACGTTGAAGTAGCCTTTGAAGTATCTGGATCGATTTCATCCGCTGTAGGTAATGTCACTACCCCAGCGACAGGAGTAGCATCTACTTTATCTGATTGATCCGCATTTGCACTGGATTCGGGGCGAGAGAAGGGCTCAAGAGCCGATATAGACATGGCTGATAGGGAAGTTGGTATTAGTTTTGGAGTTGCAGGTGTTGAAGGCGAGCCTGGGTGCGAGTCAAATGATCCGAATCCAGTACTGTCACCCATAGCTGAGCGTCTTCTTGCAGTGGCATGATGGGTAGCATGGCCGCTTGCATTACTTTCTAACCGTTTTCTGACCACAATCCGGACTGCTTGACCATTCGCAAACTCGCCTGAAACGCCAATCACTCCGACTGCCAAGAGGCGACCACCAGAATTCTTTTGAGAAAGTACTCTATGGGCACCAGCATCGATAAGGACGCTACCGGCCGGTGCAAGCGTGTAAGCGGTCCATGACTTAACATCCCTGAGGGGAGTCGTAGATGGCTTGAAGATAGTATGAGGGGGTCGTATCAGGTCAGAAGTAGAGACATTGCTTGTGGTTATGTCTTTTGTGTCAGAGTCCAAAGGCACCGCTGTTTCCTCAGAAGAGGGACTGATATGTGGCGTTCTCCCCGCCGATTTGCTCGTGTGGTATTCGATTATTCGGAATACATTCTCCGGATTTTTAGAAGACGTTATAACGGTCGCCACACCTCCAGCCGTTGCAATCTCGGCCGCAATTAACTTGGTCTCCATTCCGCCGGTCCCAAGTTTCGAACCCAAGGTTGAAGTACTGACTACAAAATATCAGACAGAGGTAATTGTAGCATGAAAAAAAGCCTTTACCAGATTTTCTAATTTCAGCCACCGATTCCACTTCATCAATGGCCCTTGCCTGGGGGTCCTTTCGCGGATTCGACGTGTAGAGAGCTTCCACATCAGTCAAGAGGAAGAGGTAATCTGCATGCACCATGGAGGCTGTGATGGCTGAAAGACTGTCGTTATCGCCAAAGCGAATTTCCTGGATTGGTTGATCAGAGCCGTGGTACCGCTGCTTGGAAATCTACATACGCTAACAGAGACGGTATCGTTTTCGTTGACGATTGGTATCTAAAGGTAGATTTAGAACCGGGCTTCTCAAGAGAGCGAAAAAGTACCGACCACTCCCATCGCGAATAATTCACTAAAGGTATTGACAGCGTTTAGGTATCTTGTCCTCTAAAAAATAAGCCTAAGATATAGAATATATTGGTCAACTTACATCAGAGATGTCACCCCTAGTAAGGAGCACCTGGGCTATCGGCTGAGCCAAGTGACTGAAAAGATTATCCCAGAGAGCAATCAGTCGGCCTTGACCAATCGCTGCGAGTGCCTATTCGCAATATATGACGAGCTTGATCAGTAAATTCTTGAGATAGAGCAGTTGGAGCTGCTAATGCTTCTCACTTGTCTTCCGGACAGTGCTTTCGGTTTACTAGGGAGCTTCATCCTTTTCATCCCAACCCCTATTGCGCCAGAGCTAACGAGCACGACTTTATGACCTTTCGATCTTAACTTGACGCATGTCTCCACAACGGCCGATAGGATTGAGAGGAGAGGTTGATGGGTAACTTCGTCGATAATAGACGATGTACCTACAAACACACTCAATGTAATGCGACAAGGGAAATTTGTATCGTATACCTAACTTAATAACCACAGTCAAGGAGCTCTGTGTATTACGCGTGCGGCCCATATCCCAATTCGATGATGGGGTTCAAGTTTGGTTGAATGGGCTGAGGGTAAGAATTATCCGAGTCAGATCTGTGAACCCAGTACAATCTATTACAAGTGATAAAATAGGTCCTCTAAATGTCTCCGAAAATGTCATTAAATATTATGCGACAGTCCCTACAACACCCATAATTACCCAACCAAAGTGGCCGCATTGGACACTGGCCGTTCGGGGCTGGGACTACGTTCGTTTCTACCAGCGACCAGCGGGGGTACGTATGTGGCAAATATTGGCCCTGGAGTGCCGAGAGCCCCGATTTCAGGATTCGTGGTATGTGCAGGTGTCATGGATGTCACCTCTTCTACCGCGGTTTGTGCAGCCCCCTTGTCCACTTTACTTTTCTTTCGAGGTCGTTCCTCTTTTTCCCGTTCTAAAAGTTCCTTGATCCCGTTTTCGTCGAGGCTCATCCCCTCTGGTCGAACAATATCTGGATTAAGACGCTCCCACTCTTCAACACCTACCCACCAAGCTGGCGGAGAACGGGATTTTATACTTTTGACGAATTCTTCGACTTCACGTTCACCTCCCCAAGTTTCTTCGTCGAAGTCTTGAGTATGCGATCCACGTGCGACCTCTGCGACATGACGATCGTGCACTAAGGAACGCAATCCTTCATAATCTTTTGCACTTGCAATCAAGTTTCGGAGGACTTTCAAGGTCGACTTTTGGTTTAGCAACCCGGGTGCTGATTTGAAGGAGGAGATGCAGTGTTTGGTGTTTCCAAAAGCATTGGATGTATATTTGGCCTGTCGTAATGGTAAATCAGTTATTAAATATTGTGAAAGATGAGAAACCAAGACAGTGGGTGCTCACTATCTTCAAATAAGTGACCACGAGGTCTTCTACTCCAAGCATTTGCTCAGAGAAACATGTCGGATTTTCTTCTGCCTTAGTCGCAACCATCACTCCGTCAGCCCCAGTGATGTCTCGGACACGCATCATGTCATTCCATCCTTCTACGTCACCATTAGCCAAGACAGCGATATCCAATTGGTTTCCGTTGTCATCTTTCATTCCATGAACGAAGTCGACGATCTCCTTTAGCCTTTCAATGATTGCTCTCTCCCCTTTTCGCATGTTTCTTGTTCGGCAGTGTACTGTCAGACAACTGATCCCAGTCTTGACAATTCGTTTCACCAACTCCAGTGTTTTGCCTTGATCAGGAAGTAATCGTATTTTGCACGAAACGGATATATGCGCCGGAAGAGCTTTTCGCAAAGAGGTGAGGATTTCACAGAGAATGTCCGGTGTGTCGAGTAATGCGGCACCCATTCCACCTGAAGTAGAGAAAGGTTTCGGGCAGCCACAATTAAGATCGACACCGGATACATCTCTCGATACTAACAAAGCAGCTGCAACCGCAAGTGAAGGCGTGGATGACCCAATCTGATATATCAAGTAAGGCCGCTCGGCTGGATGACAGGACCAAATCGAAGAGGTGATGCCTTCGAAAGATACTATTCCAGTTTTTTCTATTTACCATTCAGTAAATGAAATTAAATGGCTTGAAAATATATACCATCGACCACTCTTTTAGCGTGAAGCATGGCCCGGTCTACGATTTCAGGGCCCCAGACAAGCGTAGCGCCATGCTTCAAAGCAAGCAGGCGAGTAGGCACTGTAAATGTTAATAATATGAATACATTAATCATCTATACTTACTAGTTCCGGATCTAACCATTGGCGCCAAAACAATACTGTTTTTAAATCGCTGACTCGTGGCTGGGGCGGGTTGTGAGACTTCGCTTTGTGCCGGTACTGAGCTTTCACGAGGTCTTTTAAGAGGCAGAATAATTGAAGTTGGAGAGGAAGTGGATGCCATTCTTGCGTTGATGTGAACGACCACAGGAAGACGGGTCACCCGGGAGAGACCAAGATTCATTGCTGACCAAATATTTTTATGGTGGCGAGTGGAGGCGCTATTGACTTGTTCTCTGCCAACGCCATTGGCCAATATTGTTGGCCCACAGTACATAAAACTGGCATCCCGAAACTTTTAATGATTACAATCCATCCCGTCTCTCTCTAGCCTTACTACAATTCACCCGCATGGCGTCTGTAGACATACTTCAAGATACATTAACGCACCTCCGAG